AACCCCTAACAGTCTGTGATTCTGTGATTCACCTAGACTTACCGATATCGTAGCAGAGACAAACTGGTGTAAAAGAGATGGGGAGGACTAAAGCTGCAGTTCCTCCAAAGACCTCTGCACCTTTCTTCCTTACCCTCGCAGGACCCAACAGGGTGTGCAGCAACCAGGTTAGGGGTGCAAGGGTAGTCAGGCTCAGCTTTAGCATGCAGCACCATGGCACAGCATGTCCTGCTTCTCATTGCAAAGCAGGGAAAGCTTGTATTTAGCAGCAAATTGTGGAACAAAGAGTTTACAAATGAAAATAAAGAATATAAGCGAAGGATGATAGTTCAAGTGTCCAACACACTAAACTGAATTTCGTATTGAATTTATTTCTTATTGAAAGCAATTTCAAGTTAGAAACAAGTGGGTACGAGGTGAAACTTGTTTGCATGATTTTAATGCTAACATTTCTCCCAGAAAGCCAAGGAACTGGAGTGATCTGTCTAATTTCAAGTAGGCTGGCTGTAGCTACTGTACATTGAAATATTCATCTTTTTCCACTAATTGCTGTGTGGGAGTTTTTCACAGAAGGAAGGAACCTTTTGTATTTGCTATCATACATACCAGCTCTAAGACATTGCTCCATTATATTTTTTTTTTACTCCTCTGTCATCAGTACAGGTTATTATTTTACTGTATTAGCAATCATCAAAAGATCTTTGTTTGAATGATATGGAGAAAGGCATTCAAAACCAAAACTAGGATTTGGTTGAGCAGACAAGTTACTGATTCAAACATATTTGCTGAAAGCAAGCTCATCTTTTGTAGGAGAGAAAAGTTAACTCTCTTGTGATGTTATGAAATGGAGTTTACCTCCTGCTGTATTCACAGCAAAGCATTACTAAAGGGAGAACTTCTTAATTGCCACCTCCAAAGATGGTAGGATTTTATCTGCTATTGTTCTGTTTTGGGTTTTTATTTTGGCAGGGAAAGGTAATCTGAAACCTATATTGTGTATATGGGTACTCATTAGAGGAGGGAATTTCAGTTATTCTTGTTTCCACATTCCATTTGAAGGTACTGGGAAACATTTTCACACATTTAAACATGCATCTACATCTCTTTAGAGATCTAAATCCAAATCAGCAGTGCTGGCACATCTAAAATTAAAAACATGAGGGTTAATCTTGGAAACACAGGGACACCAAATTCTTCTGTGGTCAGTACTGCCACACCACTGAAGACTAGAGAGTTGAATCATGGGGCGTTTTAGCTCTGTAATTGTGTTCAGAGTGATAATTATACATTAGAAGTAATTATTTAGATCAATGTTTATTTCTACATGCAACAAAAGAGAACCATCATTAGATAACCGGAAGAAAACAAATTCAGTATCAATGAAAAATGCTTGCTTTCTGTGGATAGTGCAGCCCTGTATCCATGGGTAGTATTCTTTGTGAACAAAGACGTTTGATCTCACCATCTTCTGGAGGTACAGCACTGGGGTTGTAATGAACTTCAGCTATGGAAAAGAATTAGAGAAAATTTTCTGTTATAATAAATTGGTTTAATATAGTTAGAAAGAAACCTGTCTATGCAGAACTCACTGATTTAATGTCTTTGGGGAAATAACAGAGATCAGCATGTTTCCAAAAACAGCCAGGAATATTTGGTGCTTAGGTCAGAATTCATATAAAGGCATTCCTTTTTCAGATCACGGGTCTGCAACAATTTCTCCTTCTCGGAAGGCAAAACCTCTTCCTGGGATTCTTCTGGATTAAACAGGCTTACAGCAGATCCTGTTCAGCTTTCTGTAATCCCCAAGATTTTTGCTCTTTTGGGAATGCACAAGATAGACTACAGTGCTCCCTAACTGGAAGTGGGTCACGTGAGAATGACAGCTAACTGGCCCAGAGTAGAATATCTCTCAGGTGCCTAAGGTGAAAACAGAACAGAGAGTTCCCTTCCTTTTGGAGAAAAGCCATACTGGGATCTTAAGGGCTTTCTTACTTTCCTTAATACAGCAAAAGCCATCTGTAGTGTAGCCATTAACCCCAAACTGAAGTCTGGCACAGACAAAGCAGTGAAACTTTTCCTATTTGTTTCCATTGGTTGGGATTTGACAGTCACCACTGCATTCTAGTCTGAGCAGTGCACACTGTTTTTCTTACCAATCCTAAAGTTTATATCCAGAGAAGTCCTGGGAAGGAAATCTGAACCATTGAAAGCTGAACACGTTCCATTAGAATTTAGACTCCACAAAGCCTGGGATGGTGAATTGTGGTTTAAATGCCTTGGTGTAGATCCAGCAGTTGCATCTGACCCCCTCCTGTCTGAAATCAGAGAGTGGAAGGCACAGGAATAAAATTCTGTACGGGTGTCACATCTCAAACTACTTGAGACCAGGGAGAAGAAAGGTCTGTGCTTGTTTCTTGTGCCATCCTTGTACCTCCCTGAAGCCATG